TCCTTAAATCACACCCTTTCTCACACGCCCACATCATCGCTTTCTCAGAGGCCGCGAACGCAGTCTCACCAGCAATAAGTCTTTTTTGCACTGCCACTCAAAACCTATTTACATCACCATATCAATTGACTCAGGTATGCCTTGATCAATATTCTTACACGTATATTTTCTTTGCTCTTCCCGGAGTCTTGCCGTGGTCACTTGTTGTTCGTCTCATTTCCGGAGTGGGTATGCGAGCTTGGGCAGCGGTCTAAAAGCTTTGGTTTTCAGTGGCTAATCGCACTACCCAATTAGTTCTTCGGACCCCCATCGTTTCGCAACGCTCCGTTTCCGCGTCCGTGCTCGCCGTGGAGCCCGCATACATCTCTCTCGCCTTCGCCTTTTCTCTTCTCCCTCATTCTTCCCACACTCGGCAGTTATACCAGAGTACTGCTCTCTGGCTTCTTTACCTCACACCAGGTGTCTCCGAAAAAACGCGATCATACTCCTTGCCCACGGAAAGGATACTTAGCTCATCATGTCGGGGAAAATGACACTTTACAAGCTGGTGGTGCTCGGAGACGGTGGTGTAGGGAAAACGGCTCTCACGATCCAGGTTAGATGCTACCCTGAATGTCTGCGATCAATGCTCGGCCAACTGACCCCCTTTCTTTCGCCTTAGTTGTGCTTGAATCACTTTGTTGAAACCTACGACCCGACCATCGAAGATTCCTACCGTAAACAAGTGGTGATTGACCAGCAATCATGCATGCTGGAGGTATTGGACACCGCCGGCCAGGAAGAGTACACAGCACTGAGGGATCAGTGGATTCGCGACGGAGAGGGGTTCGTACTTGTCTACAGCATTACCTCGCGAGCTTCCTTTTCCCGCATACAGAAGTTCTATAATCAGATCAAAATGGTGAAAGAATCAGCCAACTCCGGATCGCCCTCAGGTGCTAGCTACTTGGGTTCTCCCATAAACGCGCCTTCTGGCCCTTCGCTCCCTGTGCCTGTTATGTTGGTCGGCAACAAGAGTGACAAGGCGGTTGAGCGCGCAGTTTCAGCACAGGAAGGACAAGCTCTCGCCAAAGACCTCGGGTGCGAATTTGTCGAAGCCTCCGCCAAGAATTGCATCAATGTGGAAAAGGCATTCTACGACGTCGTGCGCATGCTCCGTCAGCAACGTCAGCAGCAGGGCCGCTCGCAAGACAGGCGGCCGACAGGAGGAGCCCGTGATCCCGGCCCGGAATATCCTCGGTCGTTCCGACCTGACCGCAATGGCAGTCATCGACGTCCATTCAAGTGTACAATCCTATGATTCTGGCCATATACAAACATCCAGCCGACTGGCTCTATTCCGGACCGTTCAATATCGGTCTAGATCCTGCAAGGAAGCGCAAGACACAATTGCCGAGAATCAGGAAATGGGCCGGTGGCAGGGCTCAAAACCTTCCGCACATGTGACTTTTCTTACGAAAGCCCGTTCAATCCAACTCACGACATCTATTCATTATCGTACCCTTGCTCATATTGGCTGCTTGATGCGTCGCCGATTTTCACGGCCTATACGAGAGTGCAGCCTGCAAATCGTTTCCGTTTGCTATGTTATGCTGTATTGAAAGTACTTTTTTTTTTGCTACCATGGGTGTACTTTGGTTCACCAATGCAGGCAGAGCATCAGGATATGCTTGATGCATGAATTGCGATTACCCATTCTCTGTGTTGTACGTGGGTGATGATATTTTTGAAATCTACCGCAGGGTGTTTTGACTACAGCAGGGTGTTATGGTTCACAGGTTTGCGGATCTAGGAGCTCCTGATACCAAAGAAAGATTCGCGCCGCATGTGCCCTCTTTCTTGTCTGTCATTTGCCCTCTTTCGCAATAATCTGCGTGTGGTTTTCGTTCTTCTTGTTCTCTTCTTATCTTGTTATTTCTATTGCTATTGTGGTTCGATGCCCGTTGGCCCCGCCCCAACCTGGATATGAATTCTGCTTTCAACCCTGCTTCACTATGGTGCAAGGCAACAGCATGAAAGCGACTGACAACCTTACAAATGGATGAAAGCCACATCAGGGTGGTAGAGTGTGATGGGCGCAATGGAGATTATTGGTGGACATGGGATTTCAATGAATGGTTCGCTTGGTAGCCAGCAAAGACATGGCAGTCGACCGTTTAGCTGGCATTGCGATATGATACCCTACGGCTGAACTCTTTTGAGTTGTGCTTTGTTCTGTTCCCCTTTACTTTATTTCCTTACACCCCCCCCCCCTCTATTTTTCTCCTTTCTATTCTTAACCATTGACTTTGCTGTACTCATGTTGACGCATCTGCACCCCCAACAAAAGAACAAAAGAAGACACAATAAATTAAACGATAGAAAGCAATGTGAAAATGACAATATGTTCGGGGGAGAACGCAACTTCCCTACTGCCCATTCTCCCTGCAGCTCTCTAAGTGCCCCATGCACGCCGCAATAGAAACCGTGGCGCTACGGTAGGCTTCAACAACTTCCATTCTGAGGCAGTCACCCGCAGGAATGGGGTTGTCGCAGTTTAGGCGCTCTGCCGGTGGTGAGAGAAGATGAGTTCATGCTGACCCATTTGTCTGTGTGGCTTGGGTCACTTTGTCAGCCCGATACTCTTTAGCTTGAATACATCATGACCACTCTGACAAAGGAATCGCCATGGAGACGTTTGGTTTTGGAGGTGAAGCATTTATGCCCATCTTTCGCGCCACCAGACACTCACTTCCCGCATTCCCTCGTCTGTTCTTTCTAAACAAGAAAGTGGTGGTAGCTCTAGCACGGATAGCTGCAGCTTTGACAGCGGTCAACTCCCAGTTCCTTGCTTTTTTTTTTTCCAGTCTTGAACTTGTTCAGGCGGTGTGGGGGCTTAGGACCGGCAAGTATTGGTAGCCCATCCAGCGAGATTTTGAATGAACGGTTGTAAACAAAAGAATTTGGGCCCGTTTTTTTTTTTTTTTTTTTCTTTTTGGTAGACTAGTTCTTGCGAAATATTGCTAGATGGCCAGAGACGCGTGGGACTCGGGGCAGCTGCGTCTCGAACTCTTTTGAAGGCGTTGGTGACGGAGGGAATCCCAGATCAAGGGGATGAGAACATGTTTGTAGGTAGGTAGGTCACTTGCATAGCAGGTCCCTAGGCTTTTTTTTTTCTTCCATAATTAGGACAGTCCTGAGCCACCGCTGGACGACGACGGTGTGGATTGGATATCTTTGCATATTTGCTTCTCCCTTAGCGGTACTGGGGCATCGCACGTCAAGCAATGAACAAACGGAGGGGGCAGTTGGCCACGCGGGAAGTGGCAGTGGAAATACAGTGCTCGAGGGACCCGATCATCTTCATATGGCTACGAGAGCTCCTGTGACGTGGGGTCAGGATCAGGAGGATGGAGAATCAATTTGATTGTCGACTTCAATTTTTATCTTCGAACACTTAGTTCAATCGAATCAGTGGTCCGAGGAACATGCCTCACACATCGACATTAAAATTATAAACAAGATCAGAAGGGCTGATAGAAGGGAGGTAAATGAGGAAGAGAAAGGAGGGGTGGAGAAGACATGCAAAGCCCAAGCCCAGGGAAAAACAGATAATATGGGTCATCGAAGTTAGGAGACAAAAAAAAAAGAAGCGCAAGCCATCATAAAAGAATCAAACCAAGTTATATGGCAAGTCATGAGAAGAAGAGAAAAAAAAAAAAAAAAGGGAAAAAAAAGATATTCACACAAATACACTAAAAAACATGTCAAAGTCAGGGGAAAAAAAGACACGCGAACAAAGGAGACCGTCCTTCCTTGTCAACATCCCCCATCCATCTACCAATCACTTCAAGTCACGTACGACGAGATCAGATTTGACATTGGAAATGGATTAGATTTTGTTTTCTGCTCTCTTCATAGTCCGGTTAATGGGCCCGGAGCGAAAGGGTGGAGGTTTCAGGAGGAAGAAGAAGCGATGGGCGGAGGCTTGAGGCTTCCTCCAACCACTTCATCTGTCCGATTCATCCCTTCTTGCCCCGGGTCATCTATACAACAAGAGCCGCCGCCCCTTCATAGCATTTCAGGTACCCTGAAAGGCAGCTTACAACAAGTAGGCGACGAGAGCGAAGACGGTGGCGAGGCCGGCACCAGCGCCGACGGCAGCACGGGAAGCACCGCCAGTGAAGACGGGGGCGGAGGGGCTGGTGGCCGAGCCGGAGCTGGAGCCGGTGCCCTGAGCGGAGACACCTTCGGGGGAGGAGCCGGTGCTGGTGGAGGAAGAAGAGCTGGAGCTGGAGCTAGCGCTGGCGACATGGCTGGCGGAGGCGGAGGGGATGGGCTTGGAGGAGGAAGGACGGCCGGAGGGGATCACGGGGCGGGTCGAGAAGATTCCGCTGGGTCCGGGGGTGGGCTTCACTCCCTGGGGGTGGGCTCCCGTGGCTCCGCTGGGAGAGGCAGCGCCAGCACCGGGGGATCCGGAGGATCCAGAGGAGGATCCAGAGGAGCTGCCGGAGGAGCCGCCGGAGGCGCTGGAGCCTTCATTGGGGGATCCACCGCCGACGGCAGAAGCACCGCTGGGGGAGGTCTCAGCGCCGGAGCTGGGGGTAGAGCCGGTGTTGCCGGAAGAAGCACCGCTGGGAGAAGACTCAGAGCCGGAGCTGGGGGTGGAACCAGTGTTGCCGGAAGAAGCACCGCTGGGAGAAGACTCAGAGCCGGAACTGGGGGTGGAACCAGTGTTGCCAGAGGCACCGCTGGGGGAGGTCTCAGAGCCAGTGGAACCTGGGGTAGAGCCGGAGCCGGAGCTGGCGCTGGGGGTAGGGCCAGTGCCAACGGCATCGGCACCGCTAGGGGAGGCTTCGGAACCGGAGCCGGAGCCAGAGCTAGGGGAGCCAGAGCCGGAGCCAGAGCCGGAGCCGGAGCCCGTGCTGGGAGTGGCACCAGTGCCAGTGACAACAGCAACACCGGTCTCAGTGGCAGGAGCAGCGGTGGCAGAGCTAGATAGTCCTTGTTAGTCAAGCGATTCACTTGGTTCCCCGTTGGAGACTTCCGAGAGAGACGTACCACTTGTCGCAGTGGGTCACGGTGGAGGTGACCAGGGGAGTGCTGTAGGTGTAGGCAGTACCGGAGATGGTGACGGTGGTAGGCTTGTCCAGCAGTTAGTCTCACAGATCGGACATCCAACCAGGTCTGACAGAGTCTTGAACGCATGACCACTCACCTGAGCAGCAGAGGGGTTACCCTGGCTGGCAGTACCGGGACCAGCAGCCAGAGAAGTGGCCTGAGGGCAGTAAGTGGCATACTCAGTCACAACGACGGTCTTGTACTCGGTCGCAATGGCACCGGCAGCCAGGGAGGCGACGACAGCAGCAGAAGAGACACGCATGATGAATGATTGACGGGTGGTTTATGGATCTGGTGTATTTGGGTTTGTGTGTGTGTTATGGAGAATTGATTTGCGCTGAGTTTATATTGGTGTCAAAAAGAGTGACGAATTGACTGATTGATCGACTGTGTCGAAATAAAGAACGTAATCGGCGCGGAGACCGGGATTGTCAAGGTGAAACAGCGAGTGCGTGGAGTGAGAGAGAGAGAGAGAGAGAGAGAGAGAAAGAAGAGAGAAGAGAAAAGAGAGGGAAGAAGAGGTAGAAGAGAGGGTGGAGGAGGCGTAGAAAAAGGAGGCCAACGGATGATCACTCAGGGACTAGACTGCAGCCGACTACCTCATTTCCTGGGCTGGTGGTGGACTAGACTAGTCATTTTTCTATGGAAGATTAAATGAAATCTCATCAACGCGGGCAATCCATGAGGGTTTAGTTGCTTTACTAGCCTGTTTCACCTCCAGCGGGGGCGGATCCGTAATATTTGCCAGGGCTCCACGCATGAGGGCGTTCTTCAGCTCGTGTGTGCCTGACTAGGCGAATAGAGTACATGTACATGTGCAGGTACAGGTACGGGTACAGGTACGGTAGGTTATAGTACTACTGGCAGGGGGTTCGTGCAAGAGACGGTGTGTTGTTACTGGGGGTAGTTTCCTGGCGATAATGGTGGTGGTGGTAGTGGTGGTAGTGCAGGATGCAAGGCACCAGGTAGGGCTTGGCTCGATCAGCTGGTCTCCAACGTACTGCTGTTAACTGTAGTTACATACAGTACGGAGCAGAGGGGCAAAACAAAAACAACTCCAATCCTCCGCCCGAGGCTAGACTAGCACCCCCTCGTCCCCTCTTCAGGGTCTTACTTTCAATCAGCCTAATAGTCAGAAAGACTCTGTTTTTAGAGTCAACAAAGTATATTGAGGAGACTCTGTGAGTGGGAGGTGGTCTTCCTGAGAAGAAGGTGTTCCCTGGGAGCTGGAAGCTGGAAAGTCATGGATGGACCGACCCATTCAATCGGGCGACTCCTGACCATCCTTGCCCACTTCAGAATGGCTCAGTCTGTGGTGGTGTCTCGGGAATGAACAAGGTTCGATTAATGGAGGGAGACGGTTCGCTAGAAAGAAAGGAGACCTGTATTATGGTCTGGAACCAAGTAATAATAATAACTCATGGACTGTTAATCATCCATTATCCGTTATCCACCCGCACTCTCTCGCACACTCAGTCTCTCACTAACACGGCCCGGATAATATCTTGTCCGAGTGCTTTTGTCATCACCCGAGTTTAACGTAATCGTCAGCCGAGCGAGCCACGCAAGCGAGCGAGCCACCCCTGAATCCTCCCACCTCCAAAACTGAAGCAATTCAGCAGTCAATTACACCACCAAAAATGCCGAAATCATCAAAAGAGTTGTTGTATCAAGAGGGCCGAATTTGCCTTGCCCTTGAAGCTATAAAGACCGGTCAAGTTGCCTTAATTCGTGAAGCTGCTGACGTCTTTAATGTTCCTTGCTCAACTCTTCAACACTGTGCAAATGGCCGTTTATTTCGTCAAGAAACTCGCCCCAATTTGCATAAACTTACTGCGAGAGAGGAAGAAATACTTGAAAAGTGGATT